GTTCTTATACCCAAAGTTATACTCTTTGACTCAGTTGGCAATTTAAATGCATTGTTAGAATTTTGTTTTAATAAGGTCAACAAGCAGGTTTTTATCAAAATCATTTACTTATAGCATAGTCAACTTAGGAAACAAAAATACACCCATGAGGCTACATGCTGCAAATTCTATTTCATTTCATTGTCTATATTATTATAATTGTTACAAGGTTTACATGAAGGACACAAGATGAGACCCAATGTTAACATTTCTGAGTAAATATAAGGTATGTCCATTTAATTTCCATATTTATCTAATAGAGACACTAATGTTTATAAATATAACATGATAGAGGGGCTGGAAACATGGCCCTGTGGTCTACACTACTCTTCCAGTGGAGAGTTTGATTCCCAGAAAACATACCAGGCTACACAAAATCACCTGTCACTATAATACTAGGGCATTTGGCACACTTTTGTGACCTGTGTGGTCCCTGAAATCATGATGTTCACATTTCACAGATACATAAATGTAGCTAAAACTAAAATCTTAAAATGCTTAGTAGAAGTAATGCTGATACTCTGGCCTGGCCTTAGCTCTATGTGTGTGTGTGTGTGTGTGTGTGTGTGTATGAGTGGTGTGTGTGTGTATGTGTGTGTGTGGGGGTTGGGTGTGTGGGTGTGGGTGTATGAGAGAGAGAGAGGATCACATGATACATATATATGGTGGCATATATACATATATATATATATATTGCACACATGCATATTTTTATGTATGATATACTGTGTGGAGAAGGGCACTTTGGTGAGTGGAAGGTATAAGCATGTATACTTTGACTTGTGTAAATTGAAGCTACTGACTACTACAATGGGGAAGGGTATTCATTTGATCTTAGATATATTTGATTTTATGTTAACATTAAATACACAGCATTTATCTGATCTTGTGCATGTATTAATAGACCAGATAGTTCCCAACTGAATACTTTTATTAGTTATTGAATGGATATGCTTGTGTATTTAATCTAGCTTGAAACACAACTAGTTAGTTGTAGATAGCCTAACTGGAGCGTGGATTGGTCCATCTTTAAACCTACTTTCTACCACAATCATGAAAAGGGGAAAAATCCCACAGAAATGAAAAGCTTAACACCGTACAGTAGTTACACTGTTGTGTTATATCTGAGATTGGAAAAATTGAAAGGAAATGTTGCTATATAAGTAACTTACATTGTGGAGGTTATCAGGCTGTCCTATGGTTGTTATCTCCTTAAACATGACCCAGGCCCTGCCTTTTCTCTTTTCATATTCAATGCCTATAAATAACCAGCAAAGAAGTCCCAGTCTGATAAAGCACATTCTGAAGACTTGTTTTTCAATTAATTACTTTAACAATTAATTAGTTAACTAAATTATTTAGTTAGGCTTCTAAAAGTGGAACTCCCTGCCACCAATTGCAAACTATAGCTTCAGTGACTATGATAATACTGTGGGTTATTTGTTTTATCCTAACTTGGAGCCCTTTTTAAATGAAGAAAAAATATTCCTATTTTATAAATTTTATTAACTTTTTATCGGGGAGTAAGCTTGTTTTACTTTTAAAAACACCTCATGGATTTATCATGATTTCTCCTGATAGTTTTACTAATTAGAAAAAACAAAACAAAACACAATCACCTTTTATTTTTGAAGGATAGCCATTTATGAATATTAAAAAGAAGTCTGACAAAATACAAACACTTGCGTTTTAGTCAAAAGTCATACTGACTTTACTATATATTTTATGACTTTATGCCTTTCAAGAAATAGATAAATGAAGAAAATCATATGGATGCTTATATGGAGAGGTTAATATATCCTCTTACATCTTATACAATAAGAGAAGTAATGTGATTCAGATAAGTACTGGATAATAATGTGTATTTTAATATGATTAGCTGGTTTTGGGACACACAGCCTCCTATAAGGTAATTGCATTTAAAACAATAGATACTCTTCAGTATTTCTGTACTTCTAAATCAAATTATTAAAATCAAACTATGGGCTTTAAAGCAAATTGACAAAATTGGTCTATGGTTCACAATTCTCACGGTAGCTTCATAGTAGTGGGATGAACATGCATTTCCTTGTATTATTTCCAAATCACAGCATAAATGAAGCTGCCATTGATTGTTTCCTTTTAGTCCAAGTTTGAACCTGTCACCTGCATTACTCTTTCACACATTTGAGATTGCCAGTCAGTTTTTAATGGGCATCCAAAAACAAACCCACTATCAAAACTACAGTGGTGAATAAGGAATTGTAGAATAATTGCAGCCCTCTTACTGCTTGACCCTTTTTATCTCAGTAGTCTTATGTGGCCTACTTAGAGATTCGTCAAACACATGGGAACAAATCTCTCAGAGTCAGGTTGGTGGCAATAGTAATAGATCTGGGAGAAATATATAGGAATTTAACTATGTGATTCAGCCAGTCCCATCCTGTTGTGAACAGACCTCATAAAGAGTGGAAATTAGTCATGGATGGTGGTGCAGAGCTGTATTCTCAGCACTCAGGAAGCTAAGGCAGGGGAATCGTAAGTTCCAAGCCAGTTCCTAGGCTACATAGTGAGATCTTGTCTTAAAAACAAAACCAATATTGTGCAGCCATAACTCCTAGTTAAACTAATGCCTTTAAAGCTCATGTACAAATCACTGAGAGCCATCCAGATTGAGAGTGCTGAGACTTGGGTAAATAGGATTGTGTTTAATGGTTATTTTTCTCTAGAGACAGCCCCGGTGCAATGTCTAACCACACATTTCTAGGTGATTTTTAGCATAGAAACAAAAATTCTTCATTTCTCAGGTTTTTTTTTGTTCCTCTACCTTTCTTGCCAGATGGTGAAAGAAGAAAACAGTGAAAAGACACCTATCAAAGAAAATAACTGTTGTGTGAAAATATTAAAAGTAAACAACATGTAGAAAAACAGAAAATACATCCCACTGAGTCTGAATGTTTCATTTGGACTAGCAGGGCTTCACAGCTACTCTCTCCTGAAATAAGATGAAAGAGGACTGTTTTTGTCCTATGCAGAGATAGCTTCCCTAAAATGCAGTCAACAAACAAAACATGATTCCTGTATTTTTAAAATGTACAATGACATAGTACAAGTCTTTCATAATGAACGGCTTTTACCAGCATGTGAAGCAGTCAGTAGAAAAATACACTTTGGTTTAAAATTCCAAAGTATTTCCTAAAAATATATATTTAACTGACGTGTTAAAAATGTCACAAACACATAAAAACACATCACAATGATAAGTTTGTGTCTCTGCTATAGTTTAATTTTCTCAGCAAAGACTTTTATATCTTTAGGAGGTCCCATTTAGGAAAATCTAGTTGAATTATAGCTACATTTCAGTGTGGTTTGAGCCATCTGGAAGAAACCTTTAGGATGGACGAGTTTTTAAGATTTTTCTGCAGTTTCATATGACAGTACAGCAGTCATAATCTTTAAAACACATGATTTCATTGTGGAAATAGTTACACAGATTTTTATTTCCATGAGTGCTTTAAAATTTCAAAGTCTGATTTATGATCATCCACTATCATTATTTCTTGTCTATCTTTGAGTAAAAGCTTATTTTGCAAGTATAAGAAATTCTTTTAGGTATTGTAGTTATATAGACTAGGTTCTTTTGCACAACCCTTTGAAGGTCGGGATATTTAATATAAAATGATTTTTTATAGAAGGCATGAACATGAAGGAAATCATTTTGTTTGCCATCAATAGTGGCTTCATAGTCAAATATTTATTAGGCAATATCATGTTACAGTCTGTGTTATCTGCTATTCCATATGAAATTAATGCCCTTCAAAACCATGACCCCCCATAGAAGGCCTCACCCTTTCTATGGAGCAGAAGAGGGATGGGATGGGGGCCGGTAGAAGCATGGGAGAATGGGAGGGAGAGGGAACTGGGGTTGATATATAAAATAAGATTGTTTCTAATTTAAATTTAAAACGGGAAAAAACTATGACTACCTAAAGTTCATAGATAATGTTTACATAAGGAAAATAAATTAGGAAACAGTAATGAGTGATCAACTTCAAAACTCTGTCTTTTCTATAGTACATTAGAACACTTAAAAATGAAAATCTTTCTAATATCTTCTTGACATCATTTATATGTTTTGATGAAATATTTATTTTATAGAAAATTTATTAGCATGTGGTGTGTAGGCATACTTTGAATTGTAATTTATATGCCCTTGTCAGCATCACTCCAACATCTGACTCAGTGTTTTCTCCTATCAGCATTGTCCTTATCAGGATTTCCAAGCACTGTTGGTAATAAACAACTCATTACTGATACCCTTGTATTCCAGAGATGTGGTGGTTTACATCTCTCCAGAATACACATTTTCACTTTAGATAAGATGTTCTCAAGCAGAAGTGATGTGGATAGATCTTTGGCAACGTCTAGGGGTAGTGCTGTGGCCCAAGCCTGGAGATGCTGCTGCTATCTAGGGAGAGAGATCAGGTATGCTACTGAATACTGAAAATGGATTAACCTCTACAACATGTTTGTAAACAGCCCAAAAGGTCAATAGTGCCACTGTTAAGGTAGTACTCTTGAAATAAAAATTATGCTCCACAACAGTTTATTAAACTGTATTTTTCATTTGCTTATGAAAAGTAGTAAAAGTCATTTTTAATATTCCTACTCCATTGTCTTAGTGTGTGTTCCTCACTCCTTAATTAGCTTCATGACTTGTTTTCACCAAATGGCATGCTATAGTTGTTTTTCTCCAAAGAATAATTGTATGTGCATGGTTTATTATTTAAAAAATCAAAACAAAACAAAACCTGCAGTTTACAATGGAAAGAGCTTTATTACAGCCCTGGTGGCTTTTTATTTGTTTTTCTTTGGAATGACTAGATTCATGAAGTGTGGAAAATGCCTCATACAGCTGCTTTTCCTCTCCCTCTGTCTTTCTCTCTTCATACTTTATTTTTATTTTTTATTCTGGTTGGCAGAACTCCATTGATTGCAGCCGGAGTCATTGGCGGCCTCTTCATCGTGGTCATCATGGCTCTCACATTTGCGGTATATGTCAGAAGGAAGAGCATCAAAAAGAAACGAGCCCTGAGGAGATTCCTAGAAACAGAGGTAACTTCTCACTACTGTCTCTCATTAACTTGGGGGCTTTCTTTAGGTTTTACAGACCCAGGTGATATTTTGTTTACTAAAACCATTGAAAATATGGCTTGTTTATGATTAGTTTGTATGTTATACTTTTGTTAAAAAGTTGGTCAAGATAGAATATAGTATAAAAATAGTTAAGACAGTAGGGTCAGAGCTTGAAGAGGATGGATTATATTTGGCTGAAGAAAATATCCTTTTGAAAATTAAAAAGTAGATTTATTTTTGTTGTGGAAACTCCCATCAGCACCTCTGGGTAAAAGATAGCTCAATAGCAACATAGATAGCATGTGTCTGAGGAGAGGACATCTCAGTGGTAGAATTAATAAAATGTTAGAAATCAATAGAAATTCCATGATTGAAAGTACATCTGGGTCTGCCTGAACAATTCAGAGGAATTCTGTGTGTCACTCTGAGTACATTTCCTTCCTTGTTGTGAAAATGGCAACCTGGCTGTTCTTTCCCTCTTAAGACTGCCAGGAGTGGGGATACTCATCTTTTCATAAACATACTGCAAACTGCTTATATGTTAATGCTTTTCCCTGAGAAGCTTCCAAGAAGAAAACAATTGCATGACATATGCCAAGGTATATCCCAACTATATTCCACATACAAACTTGGGTAGCACTTGCCCAAAGTGCTAAAACCTCCTTACCAATTCTTGTGTGTTTTAAAATGATTTTAATGTTAAATTGTTAGAGATTCATGTAAGTTACTCATCATAGGACTAAGGAGATAGCTCAGTCAGGGAAGTGCTTGCCTTCTAAACATGAGGACTTGACTTCTATCCATAGAACCCACATAACAACTGACCATGGTGGTGGTATATGCTTATAATCCCAGGACAGGTACAGATGGATCCCTTGGACTCATTGGTCCTTGACACATTAAAAGCCTATAACAGAGTATGCCCCCCAAAAGTGACTGAAGTATGAAACCTTAGATTGTCCTCTAGACTACCCCCATATACATGTGCAAATGTACACACACACACTCACTCTCACACACACATACACACATACATACACACACACACACACACACACACACACACACACACACACACACACACTACAAATCTTAAGTAGCATCTTAAACATCTGCCAATCAACTCCTGTAGAGTGACCTTCTTGTGAAGGGAGATCACTGCTACAGGATATTTTTTTATGTAAAATTCAATGATTCTGAGATACCCTTACTTGGCTTCAAGGAAATTCTTAGTGAACTAATTAATATTTTCATAATGGAAAATGTGAAAGTGAGACAACGGTAGATTTGTTGTCTAACTATTAGGAAACAGACTAATTTTACTAATGACTTTTATCATGTTTTTGCTAAAAACCTTGCTAACTCTGTTCCCACTGAACTCAGGCCTGCTCCATTGCTTTAGTAGGCCCTAATTTTCACAGAAGCATAATAATGGCCAGACAGGAGGGCCACAGCACAGTTAGCCTTGTAAACAGACATTTTGAAATGTTGTGGTAGGTCTAGACAATTTGAGAAGCAGTAGCCTTCAATTATTTCCTCATGCAGAGAAGAAAACGGACTATTTGTTGTTCATAGTTGAGTTCCTTTTAAACTGAAAAACTGTATTTCTAAAAGCTTATTATTTCTCTTATTTGAGCATGAATTATAACATAAAATGCTATCCAAGGATGCAGGCTTTGGGTGAAGTACAGACAGCAGACTCCTTGATGCAAGAGTGAAGAAGAAGAATCAGTATGGTGCTTGCTAGCTATTATCCCCTTCTGATCATGGCAGCTTTTTAATTATTGTAAATGCTAATAAAGGGCTATTTCTTGTTCTATTGTAGTTTTGTCTTGTTTTATTTTGTCTTTGTACTTAACATCATATCTTCTAACCTGAGTGTCTCTAGTAGAATATTTGCAAAACTTGTCTTGAATTCACCCAGACAAAGAACATGTGCAAAAAAAGGATAGGACTGTGGCTGATATTACAAAATTAGTGTTTGTCAAATAAAAGAATCCTTGTATATTTCCTAATAGTGTTAGAAAAGAACAGAGGGCAAGAAGCAGAAGTGAATATGGACAAAATTTACATAATCCTACACCTTTCCTTTGCAGCTGGTGGAGCCCTTAACCCCTAGTGGCACAGCACCCAACCAAGCTCAACTACGCATTTTGAAGGAAACAGAACTAAAGAGGGTAAAAGTCCTTGGCTCCGGAGCTTTTGGAACTGTTTATAAAGTAAGTAAAATAAGAAAATTAAAACAATGTTTTTGCCTAATTGATTACATATATGATTTAGTAGTTGTATTGGTAGTTTTGATGTCTTTGTAATCGTGTAAAAAATTAACTATATGAGTAAAGATAAGAAAAAAGGATAATACCATTAACTTTAATTTTTATTTATTTTACAAACCAATTACAATTCCCCCTCTATCCCCTCCTGCCGTTTTTCCCCCACACCTTCCCCCAATCCAACTCCCATCTACTCCTCAGAAAGGTTAAGGCCTCCCATGGGAAGTCAACAAAGCCTTGTACATTCAGTTGAGGCAGGACCAACCATTAATTTTCAATGAGAGATTTTTCTGGAAAGAGAAAATTCAATTGGTGGTGTCTATATATTTATTTATTTATCTAAATTGCAAGTTCAGTGCAGAAGCCAGCCCAACATTAACTATGGTGAAATTTATTTTAATGGTAAACAATGTGATCAATTCTCCTGGGTTAATGGTGAACTCATTTTGTAACAGCCATTGATACAATTCATAAAGTTTACATCTGTAGCTTACTGTATATTTCTAATTGATTTGTTAATTCCTTATTTTTATGAACACATGATTAAGGTAGATAGAAGTTTCAGAATTTTACATTTCAAAATGTTCAGTATTTTCTCTATTTAGAAAGATGATTTAAGTTGATGTGGTGGTTTGTTCCTGTAATCCAAAACTTGGGAGTCTGAGCTAAAGGAAATATTTGAGCTGAAAAGTTTGAAACCACCCTAGACAATTTAGTGAAAAAAAAAAATGACAGTTTAGTAAAAAAAAAAATGTGTCTCAAAAACATAAAATAATGATTTGTTTATTAAAAATATTAATTATCATAATGCAGACCTAAATTTTCCTTTCCTAGGCATTTGAAAATATTCTCATTATTATAAAACCTTCTATGATGCAGATGTGAAAATTTCCATGTCATTTTAGTGTGCATATTTTGTACAGTTTCCAATTTGCATAGATTCCAGTTTAGGCTGATTTTGTCTTTCTGATCTTCAAATTCTTTGCAAGTTTAGAAAACAGAAGTACCATTTATATATATATATATATATATATATATATTACTGAAATTATGCTAGGAAAAGGGGCACAAATTATATAATTTTTTACTTAATATTTGAATCTAATTTTCTTCCAATATTTGACAATTTCAATTTGTATACATTTTAATGAAAATACATGAAATTTTTTTGGAATAATACATACATGATTTTAAATTCTATCTTAAATAAAGATGTTGGAAGGAACTAATGGATTCATTACCATCCTGTATTTTGGTATCACTGCATTACCATGTCTATGCCTTCCAATCATCTATGTAAAGATTCCCTGCCCCCCACTAGCCTTATGATTTATCTGATAATTGCTTGACTTTTCATTTCCATAGATATATTAGGGTTTCTAAGCTGAATTATAGGAAAGTCAACAGAAACATGTTAGAACTTCTTTCCCTTGTGTTTCAAAATAATCATTTCTACATGTCATAGTGACAAAATTAAAGGCACATAGACAAATGTGTGTTTATAGAAAAATTATTACAAGTTCTGTAAGTTTATTTGAATCGTATGTTTAAAATGTGTTGCCACTCCTATGTTTTAGTATCATGCATTATAAGACATACTGTCTTAAGCTATGGAAACTATTGGTAGACACACAAATGCCATGGCCTAGCTACTCTTTTTGTAACTATTTCTTCCTAAGTGAAGCTGTGCTATGTTTCAGTACAAAATATTAGGACCAATATAGGCACAAGTGTAGTCAAATTCCATGTGTTTTGGTCTATAAAGCAATGGCTAAACTTTTTTCAAAGTGGTACAAATTAATTCACACTGAATTTATAGTCTTACTTTAAAACTACAGTTGAGGAATATTTTAATATTGATGCTGTTGCTTTATAAAGTAACTCCCTATGTGGTTATATTATTGAATAATGATAAGCATGTTCTCTGCCCTAGATACCATCTCTGATAAAAAATAGCCTGGGGTTTTGGGTTCTTAGGTTCCCCCCTACTTCTGCTTGAATACCCTTTTACAAAATTATACCACAAATAACTTATGTTATTATTTTGCATTTGACATATACATTTCCCTATTGACCCTGCTTAAGTCAAACATAACCATAAATCTCATCTGGAAGTTTTAAAGCACTTTTCTTCACTGTTATTACTATGCAACAGTTCTTGGGTTTGTGTCTTCTCTATTGCTCCATCTTAGAATAATACTAACACATTTACTTAAGCTATGTGTCCAAATTGAAAGCTTTCTTCCTATCATTGTCACCAGTTGATGTTGAGAAAGAAGGTAGAGCTATTGCATATAGCTTCCTCCTTTTCATCTTAAAGTTAAAACTGTCATTAGTAGTCTTGAGATTCCATCCTGTAAAGGCCTCGTATAAGCAATGGAATTCCTTTTGGACTATATGCTTTTAAAAATATCATCCTTAAACCAAGCATTCTTATCTGTCCTACCGAAATTATTATCCTCATTTATATGTTTAAGTTTACTCAGAGACACTAGTATTTAATCTGTGCCTTGAAAGTCTACATTTAATGTTGTCCTAATCTATAAATTCTGCAATTATTTTGATAAGAAGATAGAATTGTCAATGGTTAATATAAATACCCAGAGACAATATTCATTAATATAGAGAATTTAATAACATGGATAAATTACTGTGTATTCCATATGCCCTAGAACTTGACCTTGAGTCCTATTTTCAAAATAATAACCTTTTAAATTAATTCCTTTTCCATATGAACTTGAGAAACTTGTTATTTTTCTTTTAAGGAATAATTGAAGCTGAAAAGAAATATCATTTTTACCTAATCATATTTTATAAGCATTGTTTAGATATGAAGTTTTCCATATTTTGTTGCTAAATATAGCTAACTCTTCAGAGGGAAAGAATAATGTGTCTTGAAATGAAATTGGTGATGTCATCCAAATAATATTTAAATACCCAATCCTCTGTTAATGCTCCCTTCAATGTACAAAGCCTTTTAACAAATTGAACATATTTAACATATTGAACACTATGTAAATAGAAAACATATAGATCATTATTATGAAACTATACCATAAATACTAAAACATATAGCAAATACTAAAAAAAAATATTTATTACTTATAAGAAATTAGAACTCAGAGCACACCAATTGGTTGCCCAGTGCCAAATGATCATGTCTGAATAAGTACATGCAACTAACATTATCTGTATTGAACAGGATATATTTAAGAATATCTACATATATGTATGCAATAGCAAGTTATGAAAAAGAAGACAAGGAACTTGAAGGATAATTGGGAGGGGTATATGGGAGGTTTGATTGAAGGAAAGAGAAGGGATAAATGTAATTATATTATAATCTCTAAAGTGAAATAAAATAAAATTAAAATTTGAGTGGCCAAAGCAAACTATATTTGACTACATAATATTATGCAATCTCAATATAGAATTAATGCGATTTTTTTCCTGAAAGGGTATTTGGGTGCCTGAAGGTGAGACAGTGAAAATTCCTGTGGCTATTAAGATCCTCAATGAGACAACTGGCCCCAAAGCCAATGTGGAGTTCATGGATGTAAGTACACAGTCATATTTTCACTTATTGTTAAATAGAGTACTTGAAAATAAATTAATAAAAAGACTAACCACCTTTAAAAGTTTCTTCCTGAAAATGTTATAACCTCATACTTTGAATTTTAGGACCCCTGCACCTTATATTATACCATTCAGATCATCCCTCGTTTGCAGCTGTCTACCAAGACTGCGCTCTTGGATTATTTTGGGAATACGAAGATAGTTATAAATCCGATGTTGAGTTTCCTATGTGAATCAAGCATTTTGATATTTCATTTTAATTATAATTTGGACTGTAATCAGACAGAAATGCATTTACTAAATGCAGCTACAAGAGCATCAAAACTACTGGGTGGTGGCAATAGTGAGTCATTCTTAATTTAAATAGTGCTTATAAAATACTAAAGTACTAACTGTTCTAAAGAGCATTGACAAAATCTGCAATAGGTTGAAATCTATGTTCTAAATAACTTACAAGTAATATTTCATCTCACTTGGATTATAGAACAGATCAAGTTAACCCCAGGTTAGCCCAACTTTGCAAAGTGGATGGATGATGCTTTCAATCACTCAGCAAAGAAGGACTAGAAATATTTTCTTACAAAGCAGAGAACATTGGGGATTTACCTGTCTGGTCTTCACTGTGGCAACTCCTAGTCTCTGCTCTTTTTGGTGGGAAATCAGGCATAGATAATTAAGACAAAACAATATGTGAACAAGTCTGCCTGGGCTCCAACAAACAAGATGGGGAACAGGTTTGGTTTTATTATCAGACCCCACTCTCAGGACCACAAGTGCGATAACCACAAGAACTGTATTTTGGTAGTCATGTGGCTGCTTTGAAAATTAATTGGGTTGTTTTATTTTTGTGTTTATAATTTGTTGAGCAAAAACCAATCATGATTAGTGTTTCTCATCAATCGTTCCTATATTTAACAGGAACCTATCTTAACCTAAGTTCTCAAGTGACATTTACTCTCTTTTCCATTCAGATTCATCAAACAGGACTGTGGTAAAAGCTTCAACTATAGAATAATATAAAAAGGGCTAAGGAATGAAAGTAGTTGATGAGGTCAATCAGAACTTGAAGATTTCCCCCAGCAAAAGTTGTAGATTGTGCAGTTCAAATTTTAGAGAGTAGGGTGGAATAAAATTATATGTGTAGCCTGCTGTTATTTTTTTCCCCGCATTGAACATAAGATATCTTACTAGGGATTCTGGAATAGACCCACGTACATTATTTCTCTGTCTTTTAGCATAATGTCTCCAATAATACGAATGATTTTGATTTTAAGGTGACCTTTACATGAAAGAGGATATAAGAAGCATATGCACTTTGATTTTTTTTCAAAACAGATTGCTATGTATTCTTAGCCAGTCTCTTTTGAAAGTTTCTTTGCAGATTCAAAAAAACTCAGTATATGACCTTGAAAATTTTGATAATCATGATAACCATTTTTATGAGGCTATTTTAGCTTAATTTGTTATTAGTTAATACATATAACTAATATGTAAATGATAATATATAAGAATAGCAAAAGCATGCATTTCTGGAGAATGTTCTCTGTGTGTATCAGTTGCTAAATAATTAAAATACCACTATTCTTGTCTAACTAGCAACACTTGTATAATAAATATTACTTATACAATATCTAATTTTTTATAGGTTGATAAAGGGTATTACACTCTGTGCAGCTAAATATCTGGCTCATATGTGACTATTGACCCAGATCATAGCCATAAACTCAGGAAGAGAATTTTCAAATTAAGTAGAAATTACAAAGAAAAATTGTAGGAAATAAAAAGTGGAGATTAATAAATAAAACCGATAGAAGATCAAGCTTGGCTACCTTGAGCTACAACCAAAGCTTAATTCACAAGAATGCTAATAATCTCTGCTGGAGGCTAGGACAGTCATATTTCCATGGAAACAGTCTGGCAAAAGAGGGTTAAGAGGCTACAAAATAATCATGTAAAAAGAAGCTCTAAAAACCTCATCATGATTTCGAATGATTATTTGAAAGCTCCTAACCCCATTCATCCACTCCCCTCCCCCTTGATCTGAAGCCTATTCCCATGGAAACAGGAGTAGGATGGAAGCTTGAAGTCTGAGCTTTCTGTTGAATTTAAGATGAGCCTCTGATTGAGCCACGAAAGGAGTCATTTTCCTAGATGGGTGATGGATTTGGTAACTAACAGACTCAAAAAAAAATCTGTTCTTTTTTTAAGATAAAAAATTAAGAATTTCTTTTTTGATATGCCTTGCCTACTTTTGGATAGAATCTAGAGAATTAACAGCTTACTGGCTGTTTTGACAAATGGAAGGCAGAAATATTTCCTACTACCTTGGTGACTTGTTTTAAACTATTGGAAGGATAGCATTGCACTGATTAAAATCATTTTAATAGGCAACATTGATGTTGAATGCAATTTAAGTAAGTTAGCAAAACTTTCATGTACATGAATGGCTACATTCTGTACCTTCTTGTGTAGATTATCTACAGTTTGCAGAGCATTTTAAGTATTTGTAACAGCTCAAACCAAAAGGGAAGGTCCATGTAAGATAAACTATATGCAATTTGAGACAAAGGACAGAAATGAAATTACAAGCCATCCAGAATAGTAAAAGTAGTATGTTTGATATGTGTCTTAATCTGCATTCTTCCAGAAGCACAAGCTGCTCATGAAATAATTATTTGAGTAGAAGTAAATTATGCTAGTTTTGAAAGATTCATCATTATATGGGTTTGGAAATGACAAGACAACTACCTGCCATAGTGATGCCTGTGGTAATATCTTGCTTGTACAAATAAAGCTTATCTGAAGATCAGAGGATGGAGCTTGCCACTATCACAGAGGTCTGGAGGTCTATACATACAGATGGGAAGTGAAATGGATGGGCAGAGATAAGTGAGATGGCTGGATGGAAACCGGAAGTGAGATGGCTGGTCAGAGACAGGAACTGAAATGGCTGGGCAGTAAAAAGAAGAAACAGGGAAGAAACAGGAACTTGCTTTCTTTTTCCTCTGGGAAGCTAACAAGTTAAAGGTGGCTTTGGCTTGCTCCTTCTTCTCTCTGATCTCTCAGAATCTTCCTCTAAATCTGATTATTTAGATTCCATTTACAGATGCCTGTGGCATCTTTCTATTGGAGAAGCTTCACAATATAGTACTAATTGTTTTATTCAAGGGTTAAGAGAATGAAGCCTATATACTATTCTCCTAAATTGCATTGTTTGACAGTTGCTGGGATAATGACAGAACTAGAGCCCTTATGCCAGCTCCCAAACCATTGGTTAGTGGTTCAGGAGAGAGGAATCCTTAATATCTTCATGACTTACTTGTTGAGGATTGCAGAACAAGGCTCTAATGACAAGGAAAACCATTAGGCAAAAAGAAGGGCCTGGGCATCAGCTGTTGCAGCAACATGATCAAGTGATTCAGAGAGCTATAAAACAAAACTAAGATCATCTGAAAGTGTACCATGCATATCTTTTGCACGCCAATGTCTGTGAGTATTTCTTTTTATATTTGTTTGTTTTTTTTAAATATTGTTGGATTTTAAAAAGCTAAAGCTTACAAAGAAAATGGAAACTACAAACACCTATTAAACATTAGACTCCTTTACACTTATGCTGTTCACCTCTACAGCAGAATATTCCACATTTTATAATTATATATATATATATATGTATATATATATATATGTTTTACTGGATATTATAACAAAAACCTGCAGCTTAATAATCAAAACTAATCACCAACAACTAACACCTCTATTGATATACAAGGACAAAGAAAAGACTCTTCTGTTCTCTTTAAATTTTTACCACAAGCAGAAAGTAAATCAGGGGCAGACAGTATTTTATCAAATGTTTCACTAAAAGCAGCAGAAGGAGAATTTGGTCACAGGGCTGCTACTTAGCTTGCCTGAACATGCCTAATGGATTCATAATGACAATAATAACATGCTGCTATTGAATGGCCCGTGCATTCTTCATTCCCATAAAGGAAGATCACATTGAATGACATTAAGGAAATGACTCTAAAGGTCTCCTGTCACAAGAAGGATGCCTGCATTTATAGACACTTCTAATTTTTGTTTCAAGTAGCACAATTTCTCTTGGAAAATGCAAGCTGCTAGGGGGTTTATTTGGGGATTTTGTTGTTGGTATTTTTGTTGGGTTTTCATCTTTTATTTTTTTAAAAAATACATCAAAAGGTGTAGAAGATACATATACCCAAGAAAACGGTCCTGCAACATGAGTGAGACTGTTGATTTGTAAGAGTATCCATCACTCTATTTTTTCCCAGGATATTTAAGCTCATTATCGGTTGAGAATGTTTTAAAAACTTTTAACTAAATACTTTGTTTTCTTTAAAAAATAAACTAGGAATTGAAGAAATTGTATAATTACGCTAAATTCTAGGGATTGGTTTCCAGAACTGGCTCAGAGCATCTATGAATCTGCTTTGCTCCAGGTCGAGCTTTCCCATGGTCCATTTACAATACAGTTCATGGTCAGGTGATTTGGGAAAAGGGGTTTCTGGTGACCTGACTGTATATGTAAATTGCATCATTTGTGGGGGAAAAGATCATTTTCTTTTTGCTGTGCCACAAGGACTTTTATCTTACCCAACTTTCATTTTGGTATTTTATTGAAGTAATGTTCACATGAGTGTTGTTTATTGTTTCTGTGTTGTATTTGTGATACTTGGGATCTTGATGGGAGTAAATTTTTCCAACTGTAATTGATGTCATTATTTGAGTTGAATGAGAAACATATAATCAATTCAGATCATAGTAACCTTGCAAAATGATGGGAAAATTTTTGGTTCTGTTTTTTCACATTGCAAAATTTCCTTTGTGTGACTATGTGTTGCCAATGATGATTTTTAGATTCTGTATCCCATTAACAATTTATTCTTTAAGGTTCACATTGTTTAATACAATTACATATTTGTCCATATGAATTTGGTCATTTTATATATATTTGGTAAT